CATGCAGTACATCGAGAGCCGGAGCCATGCTGGTTGCCGTAGAACCTGATGCGGCTCTCTGGGTGGGAGCAGTCGTGGACACTGACTGGCGCCGCCGCCGCTGCCGCTGACGGCCTGGGCTTCGGCGGGGACTTGCTCGGCACTGCTCCTGATGGGGTCGGTCCCGATGACGGGCGCGGCGCCCGTGCCTGCTCCTCCGTTATCTGGGTCGCTGTTGTCACGCCCGCACGTGTTCCTGGTGCTGGCCACTGCGCCGGCGCCGCTGTCGCCGCAGCCGCTGGAGCTGCTGTTGCTGAGGTCGCTCGATGGCTGCTTCGGCTCGGGGCTGCTTCCTGCGAGTGCTGCTCCCCGTGGTCGAGATGCACTGGCCCGGCCGGCTGGAGGTCCATGGGCGAGCCCGACGCCATCGGCAGACCCTCGATCTGCGTCTGGGAGCTGATGCTGCTCTCGGCCTCGGAGTGGGGTTCGGCAGCGCCACTGCCGCCTCGGCCCAGCAGTGCCTCGGTCGCTGCCTTGGCACCTGGTGCCCTGCGGACCCCAGATCCGCCTCGCCACGATGCCATACACAGGACGGCCCAGAGCATACGGGGCAGCATCGGTGCTGCAGGTGTCAAGCGATCTGGGGATTCTGGAAACGACAGAGCCCCCTAGCTGGGTTGAGCCTAGATGGCTACGGAGTGGCAGGACTCCTACTAGCAGGGTCCATCTGCCCAGTTGGGGTCGGGGCACTCGCTTCACCTTAGCATTCGACCCGAGACGCTGAGCCCGTGACTCCACCTCTTCTTTAATCTCCTCGGCCTCCTCTGTCGGGACCTCCTTGGAGCCTCTCATGATCACCTTGGGTTCCCCGAAGCTCGAGGGGTACTTCTTGGGGAGCCTGTCGAGGTCCTCTGAGACGAGAATGTGGTCGGGGTCCGGTAACTGGAAGCCCTCGAGGTCGTTCGGGTACTTCGGGCACGGTGATTAACTGGAGCCCCTTGTCGAGCCTCTCGAGACCCAGCATATGATATACCCGTGGTAGGCTGAGGATGCTGAACATGATGGCGATGACAGAAGATGATAGGAATGTAGCTTGCCAGCGCTCCTGAGTCCAGCATCTCGGGAGCTGCACCTGCCAGGCGAAACGAGCCTGGTGAAAGAAAAGGGCATCGTCGGAGGTCCGATTCTGGAACCTCTGGCAGCCCCGACAGAGGAATGATGTCCACCATCCGGTGTCTGGAGCTGAGCCTGGTCATGTCGACCTTGGCGTCAATCGTCTCGGTGGTCAGCACGCTGCGAGGGAGGTCGATGACGCTCTTTAGAAACCCAAAAAGGTTGACACTGAGGATGTGGGGCACCCGGTCGCGGAGGACCGTGGTCCCTATGATCCCGAACACGCCTCCTAGCAGCAAGGAGTAGAGCACCGCATTGATCACCTTCGCGGACTCCTCGACGCCGTGGGCCGCCTTGGTCGGCCTTGTCTCCTCCGGGATGACTACGCAGCGCAGCCCCAAATCGGCCAGTGCCTGTGACTCTCGATTGAGCGTCTGCACTTCCACCAAGTCACTGCCTGCGCCCGGGTCAATGAGCGCCTGGTGAGGACGCGCCGTCGGGTAGGAGGACCCGGCCTCCAGCTCGGTCCCGTCGTTCTCCCAGGGGGCGAGGGTGGCCTGCGACACGAAGCTCGTGTCCGCACAACCGTCGAACACGTAGGCGGAGAGCTTCTGCCGACCCCGAGGCGCCCGGTCCTTGCTCGGGCATTCGTTTCCCCAATGTCCCTTCTCGTTGCAGATGCGGCAGCGCGAGATCTTCATCAGCTGCTCCTTGCTCAGGCGAGGACGGCGTCCCTTGCCCTTGCCGCTGGCCTTACCCCCGAGCTTGCCTCCTCGACCGCGAGCCGCTGCCCTGCCACTGGCGTCTCGCCGTAGACCGAAGTACTCGCGGTCTTTCTTTGCAGCTCTCTTGAGATCCTTGTTCTGCTTCCACGTCCTGGTGTTGGGCCTGTCCTCGATGGCGGCCAGCACCTCGGACACCTCGTCTTCGTTCAAATCGAGGTCTTCGATCTCCGCGATCAGCGCCTCGTCGGCCTCCTCGTCTGTGCTGCCGTCTTCGTCATCGTAGTAGTCCAGCTCTCCCTCCTCTTCTGCGCCGACCTCGGACCTACCTCGACCGGGAGGTTGAGGGAGGGAAGAGTGAGAAGACTGAAAAGCATCGCTAGAGCCTCGAGCAACCGGACTTGCGTCTTCAGAAGTGGACGCCAACATGGCCCCTGGGCCGGCACGTCCTGGCAAAATGCGCTCTGTGCCGCCCGCATCCATCTGTCTCAGTGCCCAAGCTACATTCTTGTGCTCCAGCTGGCCACGGGTGAGTGTCCGCAGATTCTGAAGCCCCTGTGGCGTGAGACCAGCTCCTTCCTCGAGGAGCAGGCCCTTCAGTTTCTCTGACATCCACAAATCGTGACCTTCGGCTTCTAGCATCTGAGCTTCTCTGCGCGAGACGAACTGGGTGAGACTCTCCTTCGAGGCTCGGTTCGCTTCGTAGAACGCCTTGCGCCCTGCCCTGCGAAGGTCGTCCCCTTCACGCTGTCCGGAGATCATGTCCATCCTGTCTAGGAGGGTCTTCAGCCAGTCGTCCGAGGTCCATTGGTGCTCCGAGATGTCCTCGAACTGAGACTGGAACTCCCAAGAGAACAACTTCAGTACTTTCTCTGATCGTCGCCACGGCTGCACGTCAGTGTTCTTGTCCCATCGCTGCACAGCCCGCTTCCATTGTCTATAGAATGACCAGCCTGGCCAGGACGGTGGGTCGCTATAGTCTCCGCGGCCGCCCCAGCTGCTGCCTGCGGCGCCCGCGCCGCTGGACCACCAGCCTTGGCGGTCCCATGGGCCGCTCTGCCATTTGTCCCAGCCGCCCTGCCAGCCCTTGCCGTCGTCGACGGCCTTCTTGGCCCAGGGGTCAGCGCCCGTCTCTGACCATGGGTCTGCTGTCGCCGCCGGCTCGCGAGTCGCCCCAGGCTGCATGGTGTCCTTCACTATGTCGGCCACTAGCTCCCGCAGCGCTGCCGGCGTCAGTCCTGCTATCGTCGTGGCACCGTCGGCTCCGGCTGTCGCCGCTGCCGCTGCGCTGGCAGCGGGCTGTCCGGCGCCTCCTGGTGCCGCCTCTGTCTCCTCTTCGCCTGCCTCGGCAGGCATGGTGCCGTGGATCCGCACCGCCCGCTCGCAGTAGAGCGGGGCCGCCGGAGGGCAAGCGAGCGCAGGGATCACAGCTGCTGAGCCGCGCCGTCCGCGCCCATGGCCTCTCCGGCTGACCCCGCTCCGCTACCAACTGTGGCAGCAGCAGAAGAAGTGGGCGCCGTTTCCCTTGAGCCAACACGCAACGGAAAGTCACCTCAGGGACAGAAATCTAACTGACAAGCTCCCGGAGTCCCTGACCGGGTTTGTCCTGGGGCTAAACCTGAAACGGGAAAATTGGGAGACCAGTCACACTGGGGGCCTCCTGAGGGTTTTTTGGGGGCCTCCAGAGGGCCTTTTGGAGGCCTCTTGAGGCCTCTTGAGGGCCTCTTGGGGGCCTCTTGGGGCCTTCGGGGGCGTCTTGGGGCCTCCCGGGGGCCTCTAAGGGCCGAGAGCTCGAAATTCTGTTTCGTGAACCCCCTCCTGGGGCGTTCTTGAAGCGTTCTTGGGGCCCTCTTGGGCCGTCTTGGAGGCCTCTTGGGCCGTCTTGGAGCCGTCTTGGGCCATCTTGGAGCCCTCTTGGGGGCCTCTTGGGCCCTCTTGGGGCGATCTTGGAGGCCTCTTGAGCCGTTTAGGGGCGTCGGGGAACCGAAAAAGTTGAAACGCCCAAATCTGTCCAAAGCCCATGGGAAAGCATTGTTTGTTTGCCTCTTGGGGCCCTCTTGGGAATGCACTTGGAGACCTGGGGCATCTTGGAGGCTTCTTGGGTCATCTTGGAGACGTCTTGGGCCGTCTGGAGGCCATCTTGGGCGTCGTGGAGCGATCTTCGGGCGTCTCGGACCTCTCTTGGACCGTGTTTGGGGCGTTCTTGGGACCCTCTTGGGCCGTCCTGGAGGCTTCTGGGGCCGTCTTGGGGCCGTCTTGGGCTGTCTTGGGGCCCTCTTGGGGGCCTCTTGGGCCCTCTTGGGGCGATCTTGGAGGCCTCTTGAGCCGTTTAGGGGCGTCGGGGAACCGAAAAGGTTGAAACGCCCAAATCTGTCTAAAACCTAAGAAAAAAGCATGGATTGTTGCCTCTTGGGGCCCTCTTGGGAGTGCTCCTGGAGGCCCCTTGGGGCATCTTGGAGGCTTGTTGGGTCATCTTGGAGACCTCTTGGGCCATCTGGAGGCCATCTTGGGCGCCGTGGAGCGATCTTCGGGCGTCTCGGACCTCTCTTGGATTGTGCTGGGGGCCTCTTGGGGCCCTCTTGGGGCGATCCTGGAGGATCTGGGGGAGTGTCCCGGGCGTGTCCCGGGCGTGTCCTGGGCTCCGCCCGGGGTGCTTTTGATCCAGGGACCCCCAGGGGCCGCCCCGCGCGAGCGAACCAGAAATACTGTTTACCAGTTACCGGAGATCTTAGCACGCCTCTGGCCCGTTGGGCCGGCGAATTGTGGGACGCTGGGTAGTGGGACTCATGTGATCATTCGAACATTGCGTGCAAGGCCGATCTACTCTTTTCTTTCGAGTCTCCATTTTGTATCCAGAAAACTCGAGGTGGCACCACAGTTGCACGACTCGCGCTGTCAGAAAGCCTGTCGCGTCATCGCGCTGCTCTGTGCTCTGCTGCCCGCGAGGTGCGTGGCAGGTTGTTCCAAATAATCCTTTGAGCGTCGGCCCGAACGTTACCCCTCCCCAGGCAGCCTTGCAGAACTCTCGGCCGACAGACTTGCCTCCTTCAGTACACACGCACACACTCGTGGCCGCCTCGCACGCCGTGAAACGGCTGCAAGTCGCCCCCCGTCTCCCCCCCACCCATCTGTGATCCCTCTTCGCCGGTCTCCCCCCCACCGCTCCCCCCCGGGCCTCAGCCAGAGGCGCCGCGGCGCGGCGCGCAGAGAGGGCAGCGCTGGTGGCGGGGAGCAGGGCGTGGCGCCCGTTCCAAAGGCACGTTCCGGGCGCGATCTCCCGGCTCCGACTCGTGCCCGCCGAGACGATGCCCGCCGAGACGAGACGATGGGGGAATCCAGAGAGACGGGAGGAGGAAGAGGAAGAGGAGGAGGGGACTGCTGCCGGAGGCTTGCCGGGGGCTGAGGCGCCTGTGGCCAAGAGATCGGTGCGGGAGCTTGGCTGGGACATGAAGGCGTGTAGCATAGACGCAGGTCTGGGGGCAGGGTGCGGACAAGGGTGGCGAGTGGGAGGACGGGGAGCTGCCCGTGCCCGCACGGAAACCCTTCCGGTTGACGTGTGGTTGTGTGTACTGACTTTGGGCCTCATGGATCATTCGACGCGGGGATCCCCGCATGTGCATTCCTGATCATGAGGCTGTGGAAGGGCGCGTCGACGTCCCCAAACGGGCGTTCTGCCTGAGAGGCCCCACGAATTCTGACACGAACGGGCCAGTGCAACACCTCTGGCCGACCTCCTCTGGCGGCAATATTGCCGTGTTTGCAACCCTGCGGTGGTATGAGCGATGAGCGAGTATGACCATGAGTCTGAGTCTGAGTATGAGTCTTGCGTCGCTGCCGCGCGAATCAGCAACCCAGCTGTGGCGGTCGCCTGGCGGGGGGGTGGGAGGCAGGAGCGCCCAGGAGGGTAGGTGCCACAGAGCGTTGAAGCAGAATTTGTGTCTTCGAGTAGTTTTAGGGAGAGCAACGCACGCAAGAAGTTGGTCCAACAAGTGACCGCATCTTTGTTGGGCCCGATTCGTCGGTGGGCTTTCACTTTTGCTTCGCAGGGAGCGAACCTAACGGTGGGGGCCCAACTGCTGCAAGCGCGGTGGCACACCCTCTGTGTGAATGAGAAGGTGTCCTGAGCACGAGCGACTATTGTTGCATGAGTCTGAGCATGAGCGGTGGAGTGTGCCCGAATGTCGGCGGCCTGAATGAGTACGCGTCTGAATGTGAATGAGTTTGAGGTTGAGCGTCTGGGAATGAGTGAGTCAGAGTGCGACCAAGACGGCGCCCAAGACGGCCCAAGACGGCCCAAGAAGCGGCCAAGACGGCGCCCAAGACGGCCCAAGACGGCCCAAGAAGCGCCCAAGACGACCCAAGAGCGCTCCAAGAGAGCCCATGACCGCCCAAGGCGGCCCCAAGACGTCCCAAGAGGCCTCCACGACGCCCCAGGAGGCGCCCACGAGGCGTCCCAAGAGGGCCCCACGAGGCCAAAATCATTGATTTTCTGAAGGAAGACGTGCATTTTTAGCATATACGGCTTTTCGCCTTTCATGGCGTTTAAGACGGTCTAAGAGGCCCCCAAGACCGCCCCAAGACGGCCCAAGATGTTCCCAAGAGGCCGCCAAAATAGCCCAAGAGGGCGCCAAGACAGGCCAAGAGGCGCCCAAGACTGTCCAAGAGGCCCCCAAGAGCGCCCCAAGAAGGCCCAAGAGGCCCCCAAGAGGGCCCAAAAACGCCAAAAGAGGGCGCTAAGACGGCCCAAGAGGCGCCAAGACGGCCCAAGACGGCCCCAGGACGGCCCCAAGAAGGCCCCAAGAGGCCCCCAAGAGAGCCCAGAGACGGCCAAAGGCAGCCTAGTCCCTTCACCCCCGCCACCCAGAAGCTCCCAGGAGGCCCCAAGAGGCCCCCGAGAAGCCCCAAAAGGTCCCCAAGAAGCACCCAAGAGGCTCCCCAAGAGCCCCCCAAGAGGCCCATAATACTCCCACAGGCTCTTAGCACCGCGGCTCCCAAGAGCGAGCGGTGACGTAATCGAGCTGATAAGGCCAGAGCTCCCAACAGAGAGCTGCGGCGTAATAAGTTCTTGCAGACAGGGCACAGGGACGGGCGGCAACGCGTGGACAACGAGCGGTCCACGCAAGGACAACGCGGGGTTCTGGAAAGCTGGCAGCCCAAACGCGGAAAACGCAACGCGACCCGACCGCCCCCTCCAAAACAAGCAACGCGCTCAAAGAAAGCTCCGCGACTCTCCGAGGCTGAGATAGGACAAGAGCGAGGGGAAGGGAGTCAATAAGAGGTGTAAGAGCGGACGAGCCAGCGATCCCGTGCGCTCTGAAAGTAAGTGCGCTTTCCGTCCCCGTGCCAAGCAGGTTTAATGGCCTCGGGGACACGAATATGGCGTAATCCACTAGTGGATTATGGCCTCGGGGACGCGAATCTCATGTATTTTTAAGTGTCCCACGCCCCCCCCAGGAATTCAGACAACGCGATCTGGGCGTGGTAAAAAAGCTGGTTTGGGGCTCCCCCCCTTCGAGCGTTCAGCAACTTAACAGTGAGGATGCAGAAAACATGACTTTAACAGTGGAAACTGGACACTGCAACTGGAACAGGGAGCTGCAATCCTCACGCTCGCAGCCTGGTGGCCCCGCAAAGGGGGCCGGCGGATATAAGTGAGAACTCAACCGCAACAACCAAAACCAACGACGACGACAACATTGACAACAACGAACGTACAAAAAACCAAATGTTCTGGTCGTTCGGCCAGCCCTGCGGTCAACGAGCCCAGACAGGACAAGCACTCCTTGCGAAGACACCGAGTGAACAAAACAGCGACACCAGCAGCAGGAACAACATAAACGAACAGGACAGCAATACCAACAACACACCTGGCACCAAGAGCCACGACAACGACACCAACAGCAACAGCCGTAACACCAACCTACACATGTTTTTCATAACAGCACCCATGCTTGGTTAATACATCCTCTGGCGTGCTGTGGCACGATCACAACGAAAGCCACCAACAATGTTAGCAAATCCGAGGATCCGCACAACAGGAACAACAGCAACAACAGCACCAACCACATAACACAACCACAACAACAAAACTACAAGAGCGACTACAAACCACAAGCATCAAACAACGACACCACCCAAAACGCTGCCATAAGATGACGCCGCCTCCAAGGGGTATTCCGTGACATGCGAACGCCTCCCCCGAAACGACCTCGAGATTGCCTCGAAATTACCCTAAGATGACCCCGTGAACCCCAGTTGACCCCAAGATTGCCCCAATTTGGCTCCAATGTGAGTCCGATGCGTTTCTCCCTTCTGCCCTTACTCTTGGCTTGGGCCGGTTGGACGGATGGGGGTGCTGGCCCTTCGCCCCCTCGTCGTCGTCCTCTTCCTCCTCCGCCTCGTCCTCGCCGCCCTCGTCATCGTCGTCGTCGTCGTCGTCGTCGTCGTCGCTGTCCCCCTGGCCCTCCCGGCCCCATGCATAGCAGAAAACCGAATCCGGGGCACAAACCGGATCTATAGTTTCTCTGATCTTTTGGTGTCCTCTTGGGGGCCTTTTGGTGGCCTCTTGGGGCCTCCTGGGCACCTCTCGGGGCCGTCCTGGGCACGGAGCCTCGGGGGCCATCTTGGGGCCATCTTGAAGCAGATCGACCAAAGGGGCCGCAGTTAGCACATCATTAGGGTCCTGGTCCCCTCCCCAGGAAGCTAACATCAGAGTCAAATCAATCAAGGATGTTGGTCTTCTCGCCGAGGCCTCTTGGGGCCATCTTTGGGCACCCTTGGGTGCCTCGGGGGCCATCTTGGAGGAGATCGATTAACTCAGGGGGACTCCTTACTTGGGCCCCCCCCACAGGAGGCCAAACTGTGGCCCAAATCTCTCAATGGTGTTGGCCTTCTCGCAGAGACCTCTTGGGGCGTTTGTCGGACAGGCACAAAACTACACTTTGGGCGAGTGGATTAGCTTCTTGCGCGGACCCCAAAATTCCAAACTCACTTTTGCGACATCGTCTTACGTATTTGTTCGCCCGCCATTCGAGCGGGCCGATTGCGCCTGTCGGATTTGCCGGGGCCTCGACTTCGCTTGCCAGAGTCAGTGTGGAATCAAGAATTGCGCCTCACGAAAGGATTGGAGGATGAGCGCAAGGTGAGTCTTTCAGCTGCGGGGGGGCGCGGGCGTTTGCCGCCACGCAGGGGTCAGCGGCAATTGGGAAACGCCTAGGGAAATGGAGGGCGGCAGGTAGAGGAAGAACGGGGGAGGGGGAGGGCAAAGCAGCGGTCGGGAATGGGGAACATAGTGACCAGGCGAGAAGCTCTGATAGGGGGAGCGATGTGGGCGTAGGCCGCAGTTGGAGTTCCTTCGGAAAGCCTTGGGACGTTCAGACACCTCCGCCCAGAGGCTGGCAGGGGGTTCAGCGGCCCTTGCCTTCCTGACTCTGCGGGCGGAGCGCGACGACGCACCCGACCTGCACCCCGACCTTTTCGCTAGGTGCCGGTCTGTACGTGCTCGCCTTCGCGCGAGACATCCAGCGCGTTCAGAACTACATTTAGCCAGGCACTAGGTGTAGTTCTGTACATGCTGGCCTCGCCAGAGACATCCTCACAAAACAGAGCACTTATATAACTACACCTAGCCAGCGGGGCGGGGTGCATGTCGGGCGCCGCCACTCGCGCTCCCAACGTGCACCGCGCCCCGGCCGCTAAGTGCCGTTCTGTACGTGTCTTCTTTTCGCGAAGCATCGGCTGCCCGCGCTGCCCATCGCCGAGGCCCCGTCCCCTGGGCTGCTTCCCGCCGACATTCCACATCCCCTGGCTCAGCGAAGCCAGCCGTGTGCCTGGGAGCCTCGACCTCGCGCAGCCCGCTTCCCTCCCCCGCTTGTGCTCCAGCAACAAACTCGCGATCCGAACCTTCGCGCGTTCGAGTTCTTCTTCGTGCTGGATCCCCCGTCCGAGGGTGACGCGCTTGTTCGTGTTATGATTTTTTTGAGGTTGCCGCCAAGCCTCGCCGTGAAACGTGGCGATCGCTTCCACGCTTGGCACGCAACGTTTTCGGCACGACCATCGCCTTCCATCCAAGGTCGCGAGGCGGCGTCCGTCCACCCAGACCTACCGACGCGCCAAATCGAATTATGATTGCCACCCTTGGTCCCCGCAACAAGGTGCAGTTTTCCTGCGTGTAGTTGTAGATGTGTTCGAGTTTGAGATGCCTCCGTGGGGCCTCATGGGGGTCGTGGGGTTCTCTTGGAAGCCTCTTGGGGGCATCTTGGGAGCCTCTTGGGGGGACTCTGGGGGCCTCTTGGGTAGCTCGTGGGGCACTCTTGGGAGCCTCGGGTCGGGGGCCATCTTGGAGGAGATCTATCAAATGATGGGGGACTCCTTAACTAGGCCTCCCCCCAGGAAGCCCAAATGTGGCCAACACCTTAGTCAAATCAGTGGTACGGGCTTCCTCGCCGGGGCCATCCTGGACGTCTGCCTCGCAAAAAGACCCGTCCAGACCCAGGGACGGGATAGGAGGAGGGGTAACGTTCTCCCCGAAAAGGGGGGGAAGTGGGTTGGAAGAGGACCTTGCTAAACCAATCACGTCCTAAAAGGATGGTGCGTTTCTATGTGGGAAGCATTCGTTTGTGCAGTTGGCGTGGTGCTGGTGGTCAGCGCGGCGGCGCTGGTATCATCGAGATTGGTTCACAGGACGTCCGTATTTATGTCGCTGCGCTTCGATCCTGGACCATGTGTGCTTACGCTCACGCATACTGCACATGACACCTACTAGTTCGTGGCATGAGCCCCGCGCCCGAAACGTCAAGAATATTGGCACAGCATTTCAGAAAGCTGTATCGGTTGGATTTCGATCATCCTACAAGGCCTCCTGCGCGCGTAGATTCGAAGAATCCGGGAACCAGTGTGTATCATCCCGTTTGTTGGGGTCGTGTTCAGAAATCTGATGGGCCGGCTGGAAAAAGCAGGAGGCGCGATGTCAGCAATGTTTCGGGGATGCAGGGCGGGTGAGGGAAGAGGAGGCCGCCAATTGCCTCTCGCAAGCCATGCAGCATCCAGCGGATTGAGGAACAACTAACTTCCTCATTCCTCCACAGCTCCGTAATGCTACCTCCGATATGTTGCCATTGTGTTCTGGCCTACTTGCAGCTCTTGCTTTTTCGTCAATTATCCGCACACGATGTTTCTTCTGCCAGGCCTTCTTGTGCCCGATCACGAAAGAGGTGTTGAAGGCGCAGGGGGGCAAGCATGAAGTGGCAGAGAGCGTTACACAGCATCTGCAATTGCAGGTGCAGTGGTAATACGCGTCGCCATCCTGGTCACAACCCTTTCTCGCAGCCGTGGCTAGCTTTGGAGGTTTGAGGGGGAGACTGAAGTGACACATGAGGTGCCCCAACGGGGAAATCGTTTCGTTTCGTGCGTGACGCGCGTGCGGGCGAGGCGAGGCGAAGTTGCCCGGTTTTGTCCCTTGGCTAGGGCCAAGCCAGAAAAAAAAGGGGGCGCGTCCCTATCCGGCTTTTGGGTGAGAGTTGTCCCGATGGTTGCCCCGATCCCAGGGTAGTGAGGTCGCAAACATATCGATAGTTTTATAGGTTGTTACCGGGTGATATCGATAAATCGTGAGGCCGATAGGTACATTAGATATGCATACATATAGTGGCACCTGTCCATATATATATATATATGTATGTATGTATGTATGTATGTAATGTATGTATGTATGTATGTATGTATGTATGTATGTATGTTTGTATGTTTGTATGTATGTATGTATGTATGTATGTATGTATGTGTATATATGTATATATATCGCCAGAGAAAACCCAGCCAGTGGATGGTTTGAAAAGTAGTGATATGGATAATGAGATCGTGAGATCGATAGTGCGACCGATCGTGGGATCGATAGCAAGGACGATAGTAAGGTCGAGCGTGAGACGGATCGCGAAGTCGATTCAACGAGATCGATAGTGAGATCGATCGTGGGATCGCTCGTGCGATCTATACTAAGACCAATTGTGAGATCAATAGAGAGGTGGGTAGTGAGATCGATGGTGAGACCGATCGATAAGGAGATCGACCAAGAACCCGGAAACCAGGGAACCCCGCCGCCCACCGAAATCGGTTTGGAACCAGCAACCAGGAACCCTGGAATCCGGAACCTGGAACTTGGGAACCCGGTCGCCTACCGAAATCGGCCCAGAATTTTCGCCAAATCTTTCAATCTCAGCTAGGGCCCGTTCAGTTCGAGCACTGATTGGGGAACATGTGTGGATTGGCAGTGATATGTTTCTATATGGACGTGGCATGTGTAAACAGATTATACAAGAGAAAAACCCAATCAGTTGATGGTTGGAAAATTTGTGATATGGATATTGAAGTCAAGTGTGAGATCGATAGTGGATTCCGTAACGAGGACGATTGTAATGTCGATCGTGAGACCATGAGACCAATAATGAAGTCAATTTTCAATGAGATTGATAGTGAGATCGATCGTGGGATCGCTTGTACGATATATAGTAAGATCAATTGTGAGATCGATTGTGAGATTGATTGTGAGATCGATAGTGAGGTCGATAGAAAGGTGGGTAATGAGATCAATGGTGAGACCGATCGATAAGAAGATCGACCAGGAACCCGGGAACCCAGGAACCCTGCCTTCCACCGAAATCGGCCGGGAACCCAGAATTGGGAACCGGGAGCCGGGCCGCCTACCGAAATCGGCCCAGAATGTTCGCCAAATCTTTCAAGGTCTGCCAGGACCCTTTCAGTGCAAGCACTGATTGGGGAACAAGCTTGCGTATACATACATATATATATATATACACACACATACAAGACTGCATTGGCGCTTCGCACCATGCACCTTGGTCCTTGAGGCTTTGCACATGTTGGTCGTTCGCGCCACCCCTAGTGGCCTTGGAAATTTGGCCCCTTTGCTGCGGTGGTTTTCAGAAGTCTTCGAAAGTTCGGGCGGTCCCTGGCCCTTCTCGGGCCTCGGTGGGCTCCCGAAAGGCGCCGGGTGGAGGGCCGTCTCGAGCCGGCTTGGGGCCATACTGGGCCGTGTTGGGGAGCTTGAGCCCTCTAGGGACCTTACGGGGGCTACGTAGGCCTTCCTGTTGGCCTCCCATGGCCTTTTGGGGGGCCTCCCATGGCCTTCTTGGGTTTCTCTTGGGGGCCTTGTGAAGGCATGTTGGGCCTCTTTTTGGCTCATATGGGGTTTCCTTGGGCAGTCTTGGGGCCGTCCAGGTCTCCTTGGGGGTCTCTTTGGCCGTGTTTCTTTGCTTTTTTGGATACTGCTAAGACCCGGACAGCGAATGTGTTGAAAAGGTACGTATCCCGAAGGGAATGTCTGCATTCTGGAATCCTGTTGAGGGCTTCCTGGGCCGTCTTTGGGGCTTTTGGAGGCCCTCTGTGTTCTTTTTAGAGCGCTCTTGTGCTGTCTTGGGTCTTTCTTCGGCCTTTCTGATCACCGCTCTGATCGCTTCGGGGCCTTGTGAGGGCCTCTTGGGCCTCTTTTTGGCTCAGTTGGGGCTTCCTTAGGCAGTCTTGGGGCCATTCAGGCCGTCCAGATGCTCTCTTGGGGGTCTCTTGGATTGTCTTAGAGCGACACCGGAGGCCTGCTTGGTTTTTCTGGGACGTTTCTAAGACCCGAGCAACACACTTGCTGGAAAGGCACGCTTCCCGAAGGCAGAGAAACGACGTTTGCGTTCTGGGAGCCCTGTTGAGGGCCTCCTGGGCCATCTTGGGGACCTCTGGAGGCCCTGTGGATCCTTCTTGGATTCTAAGTGAGCTGGGACAAGGGCGAGAGATAACGCGCGTTTGTCCGTGGCCGCTTGGGCTCGAGCGGCCGGCCGCCAACATGTGATTGCGCCTCATTGCGAGGCATACTACTTGCCATCGAGACCGAGAACATCCTTCGCTTGAGCTGGCCTGTCGCTCCCGCGACGATCTCTTCCGACTGGGATTATCGTTACTACAGTAAAACAGAGCTGGAGCTGGGCTTCGCCTAAGGCGAAGCTTCTGGTCGGGCCTCCTGGCCCCCTTCAAACTTGGTAGCGGAGCTGGCCTATGGTGGTCAGCTCTCGCTCTACTCCTCACTATACACGGCAGTATCTGGTGGACTACTGACATGGTGGAACGTCAGGGTGCAGTGGGTCTGCGCGGAGGAATGTTCATGACTACGCACAACCGTTAAGACACTTGCAGTGCTACCTCTGCTCTCGCGGAGGCCTCTTACTTGACTCCTACATCCCTGCGCTACTACACTCCTGAAGTCCCCCCCACCTACTCCACTTGGAAGCTTCTTTGAAGATACCATGCATGGCAACATGCGATACGATATTGCGCCGCCTCCACCCCCATGCAGGCTTACAACAAAACACCACAAACACCAGCCACCAACATCCGACCACGACCGTCGGGGCTATTGGATTGGTATTGCTATATTTGGTCTTATATGGGTTGCTATCGGGTGTGCTGAAGGACATATGTGTGGCAGAAGCGACACAATAACAACCGACCCCCATCGGGGCCCGGCCGGTCAAGTACCATTTCCGCGAACTCGCTCGAGAAATACATGTGACCGCAGGCAATATGACGCCCTCCCAACAGGCTGCAGCACTGCAGCGTGGTCTGGGAGGTCTCGCACGGACCATAGCCACGAGAGCCCCCCCCCGCAGCCATCAATTTTGGCGTTAACATTGGTGGCCGTCATACCGCTGGCGCCACCTACATCATGTTTTTCCTGAGCACGAAGTTTGAGAACTTAGAGGAGGAGCGCCAACTCAACTCGGGAACGGCTCTCATCGACTTTCGAGTCCATGCGGGAGAACGGATCGACCAGACATTGGCGCGTTTCGAGATAGCCCGCTACGAAGCTGCAGCGGCAGGCTTAAACATCCCCAACGTCAAAATCCTAACAGTTATTCTGTTCAGAGCTTTAGGAGTGGGGACGTCGCGTGCACAACAACTCCTACAGCCACTCAACCTCCACACGCAGAGAAGTCAACAACAACTTGATTCTCTACTTGAGGTCATATGCTCACATTGCCGAGCGAACCCCTGGCAATATTGGTGGTATCTTGTAGCCGCGGCCCCCGTGCCAAAACTTTTCACGCTGGAGCTAACGCAGCGCAACCTGCTACAAACGTCTGGAATGGCGATCCGCAACCAGCGGAGACCACCACGCTATTAGCCCAAATTGGTGGTTCGGCTACGGGGTCGCAAGGCTCTTGGGCCAGGTACCAGGGGCCGTCGGCGACGGCGGCCCCCACACAAGCCATTACCCTCATAGGCTCAGCGGGGCAACCCGCTGAGTCTGACTTCGATTCCGGAACCGACGCCGACGCGTCATCGTGCGACGAAACGACTGCCCAGAACAACAGGCCCAATGGTTGTTTCTAGGACATCAGAAACATAAGCGCGGATGGAGATGGCTTATGAAGAAGCCAATCCGCATGGCGCGACGCACTATCCGACGGGCGCATAAGGGGGAAAGGTAAGGGTCGAGGCAAGGGCAAGGGCAAACGACGGCGATTGCAATTGCATGGCAAAGGTATGCTAGCATTCCTGGCATCTCCTACTGGTCCACAGCATGTTTTTTTTCCCGGGCGCAGGCAGGGGCCGCGGGCGCACCTCAGGAAAAGGTGAGGGGCGTCGGGGCAACCCGAAGGATGCTAACGGCAGAACCATGGAATGTGACATATGCCATAGAACACAACACTCCCGCCGTGAATGCCCCCAAGGCGATGTGAGAGGGTGGGGTCCGCCAATGCATTTGGTTCACACCGATTCGGACATGCAGAATGTCGACTGGGAGACGCTATTGGCCGACCCTGCCGACAATCCTACCGCGGTCGTTCACTCCATGGCTGCCAGATATCTAAGTGCCAGCATGTCCCTCGAGAGATGCGCCGATGAGCTCTTCGAGGAGATATATGTTGGCCGCGACGAGATAAACCTGGCAGACCGATTAGGCATGCCCATCGCGGGGCAACCTGCGCAGATCGAATTTGTTGAAGATTTCCATGCACCCTCCGACGTAGATCATTACATGGCGGGGGCGCCCGCGGATTCTGAATCTGCAATTCCAGCGACAGAAGAAGAAATGCAACTCATGCTTTATCCTCAAGTCATTGGTAACCCGACAGACATAGAACCATATGATGATGATCCTCGGCGGGGAAGCCCGCGAGATGCTGGCGACCTTTCAGAACGCATCCAGTGCGAACTT